TGTTAATATGTTTTGGCTCGTATCCTTTTTTCACGTTCCTGTTAATTGATAAATAAGATTACATATTTTGATTAACTAAAAAATAGGAATTGTCACAATTACAGATGCAGAATATGTTTTAAAATCTAAGGTATTTTGCATTCATTTTAGCCTAATGAATTACGTATCTAAAATACAAACCTTCTTTTGCAATAAAAAAATAATCCAATACCAATAAGAAAAAGAACAATTAAGCTTCCCACTGCTGTCACTGTTGGCAACACATAACTATTCCATGAAAAAATAGATTCGTCTTCTTCTATAAAAATATAAAAGAAAAAACTTGAGTAATAAAATCTTAAGTACTCTACACGTATCATAACAGAAGAAACGGACTGCCAATGATCAGTCAAATCATTCATACTAATGATACTTTGCTAAAACTATTGTTAACATACTAAAAAAGATATAATTAATATAAAAATTTTAACACTTTTAAATTTTAATAAAAAAAAAAAAAAAAAAAAAAAAGCATTTCTTTCAAAAATTACTAAAATATATCTTATTCAATATTCAAAACATTGATGTTTTAACCTATATTATGGGATAAGGGTGTTGACATAAATCTTCAATATTAATACCTGCATATAAAATATTTACCCGTGTTTGATCCGGCATTACTACAGCCAGTCACACGGTCACACAGAGACAGATTACATGTACACTCAGATGCACAAAGTTCTCCATAATATCCCGCCGGACATGGTTCAGAGCAATCGTAACCAAAATATCCTGGAGAACACTCTAAATGAATTGATGTAAATTGGTATAAATATTACAGTTTGTAGAAAATGGGCAGTGTATTGATAAATTTAAAAAGACTATTTCAATACACAAAATTGATAGGTATTTTTTGAAAGTCATATTTGATAAATAGATATTAATCTAATTTTTTCATTTTGATATTTCATTTAGATCAAGAAAATGTGTATTAAACGTTTATGCTTTGTGTATTCAATATCAACGTTAAATTGTAATTTCAATCAATGATAAAGGAGAAACTGACTCAAAAGAAATGCATACCTATGCACTCAGTACCGTTATTGTAATAGTTATTACAGCATCCATTCTCATTATCCCTTTAAAATACAATCATTTTTTTTAAATTTTCAAACATTTTGATCATGATTATTATTTATTAGATCTATGCAGACTTTAAACTGTTTTCTCATTTTCAGGCATCCATTCATTACAAACAATTAAATAATAATAAAAAAAAACTTGGTTTTGACCAGGGCCGTCAAGAGATCGTACGACACAGTGTTACGAAAATCAGAGACAAAGACAAAATCAGAGAAAATGTAATAAAGAGAAAATTCAATGCCGAGTAGTTGAATTAGAAATTTACTTGTGCTTCACACTCATCTAAATATATTTTCAAAACCGGAACCACTCATGAAGAACAGTTTTAAAAAGTGAATATCCCCAATTACATTTTCAACAGTGAGATACTGTAATTTATTTATTGAACAAAAGTGATATTTTTAATGGAATATACGGAGATAACGAACGGTATTCAAGTTCAAAAATCCATTTAACAATAGAAAATATGAACAGATGATACACGGACCTCCTAAACACAGAGGCGGGATCAAATGTGAATCAATATCAAATTAAACGAGGCATTGATCCGATCATCAGATCTACAAAAGTACAATTTTATAAACAAGGCATAACCCCCTCAGAATTCCCGAGGTGGTATTCAAGTGTTTCGGAGGAGTACGCATTGTGCACTTGCAATTGTTAATCGGTCCTAACTGCCATGAGTCCTATGTAATGTATTGATAAGCAACATTTCCAAAGTCAAATGTTCTTTTAAACAAAGACTCGTCATTTGGAAGGAAAGTCCAGTCAAAATACGACCCAATGATAAGGTATTTTTGCGTACTATGTCTATAACATGAAACTTACACAGTGCTAACTTTAAATTTGGTTTTTATAAGCCCATCAACATCAATTTATCGTAGCCTGCATCTGATTGAAAAAAAAACAGAGCATGGTCTTAAGTACCAAATAAGTTCGGGGATGTAGATGTAGAATACAAGTGAAAGCCAAATATCACTGCACAAAAAAAAAAATGAAAAAAAATCTATATGGAAAAGTATTCATTATGAGTGAAAGTCTGGTCTTCGGATTCATGGATTCATTGCTTTCCATTGTATTGTATTGATTAGGTATTTCCCACAAATACGTTTGTTTTTGTTGCACATTCCCTGATCACTATCTGACCAGAAAGGGTTATAAATCTATATACAGTGGAGCCTCATTTATCCGGATGCTTTGGTTCCTAGTCAACTTGTCCGGATATGTGAAGCGTCGGGATACCTGAATCACCAGTTAAACAACGCAAAATAACATTAAAAAATTCCGTACCGATGAAAAATCGCCCGGATACTGAAGCATCCGGATATCTGGCGTCCGGATATCTGAAGGTCCACTGTAATGCTATTTTTGATATATTAAAAAACATCAGTTGCATAACGTATTTTGTGAAGATATGCAAAAAAGCTCTTTACGGTTTAGCAGTATGTTACTTACGGACAGTGTCCAACAGGATCTTGACTTGATGTTCCAACAGTGTGTGAAACTAAAAAGATACAAGCAAGTTTCATATCAAATTTTATCAATTAAATCCACCATGTATGTGTTATTATGAATATATAATCAGAATAACAGGAAATTATTTCGTAATCTATAAATAGCGTTAGTCAAATGCATTATGTTTATGTTCCGAAATTCCATATTCATATCTTCCTCAATTTACTAAAATACAGAAAAATGCTTTAGAAATATGATCTTCAACCCATTTATAATTAAAAAAGATTCTGAGATTTTTTGAAAAATATTACTTTTAGACAATAAAATTGCTCATTATATTTAGATAATTACATGTAAGAAAGAAAAGAAATAATTCTATAAAAGGTTAATTTTTCAAAGATCTCTTTGAAAACACAAGAAAAATTTTACTAACTATAACTGAAATCTTTTTCTATTTCTATTTTATTTTAAAAAGATACATGCACTATGATATTAAATATACTAAAAGGAAGGACATTGATTTAAAACAGGGAAATTGTTTCAAAAATATATAGTCACGTGTTTACACGATGTCGGAGACTCTTACCATCCTTACAGCCGATCACATGGTCGCACAGCTGACCTGGTTTACATTTACATTGATTTCTACAAAGTTCACCAAAGGAACCATCCGGGCATTTACGTGTACAATTGTGCTGAAAGTACCCAGGGTCACACTCTGTTAAATTCAAATTTAACCTGTATTTAATCAGAGGTCAAGAAAAAAATGCAAATAGATAAAACACAATGATATAGTCAATTTGATGTAAATTCAACATTTACTTTATTTAAACAAACAAAAAATCAATCAAACAAAAAAAAAAAAAAAAAAAAAAAAAAAAAAACCAAACATTTAAATTCAAAAATAAAATGACAAGGTGTACAGCTGTACCTTTACAACCATCCCTAGCCTCATTTAGTTGGTAGCTTTCACAGCACACGATGGTTTGTGAATTGAGAGGCCTACATTTTAAATAAATTAACTAATATAAATTCCAAAAAAGATAATTGAGAGAGAGAGAAAAGGGGAGAGAGAGAGATGTTATTCAATATAAGGAAAATTATTTTATTAAAATGTTCTATGAAGAAAAGAAAAAAAGAAATAAAAAAGCCTAATATTTAATATAGATCCAAGTTAGAATTTCCGGTTTTCTAATTGTATTCACAAATACATGTACTCTAAAACTTTCTTGAAGATTTCCCGATATACATCTTCAAAAGAAATTCTTCAGACTTGTATCAGGGGTATAAATGCATTCCTATAGGTGGCGTTTTGATTATAATAATGACAGGTTCTCACAATTTTTGTTTGAAAAGTTTGTTAGAATAGAAATAAACAATAAATTCTTTATATTTACATATTTAACGCTTCAGTAGTGCTGAACAACAACAGAATCGAGAATTGTATAAATGAAAAACGGAGATAAGGAACAGTTTATTCAATCAAAACAATCAGGAGCAGAGCAAACATGGACCTTAATGCATTGTTCACATCGAAAGTTAATGCCCTGTTCACACGGAGAGTTTAATTTGAATTAAACGTAAGTTACTGCGAATTAGCTCTTAGCGTTCACACGTAGAATTTAATGAGAATTAGTTGAATTCGAATTATATCACTGCGCATTAAATTACTTTGCATTTTCTCCGTGTGAACGCTAAGCGAAGCTAAATCGAATTGAATTTTGACGCATGCGTAAGGCCAGAATTAAGTCATAGAACACATGTTGGTGGTTAGATATAGGTGTCTGTGCTATATTTGGTTCAAATATCAAGGAATAGTGTGTTAATCACTAAATGTATACCTGTAGCCACGATGATTAGTATATCAAATGAATGGCTCTGCATACAGGACGTGATTTATAAATGACGTCATAATAGTCTTACTGACTGATTAATTTTTTTTTTAAATTGTGTCAAACAATGTACATTTTGGTGTTCATAAAGTATTGAAAATGCATATAGTTCCTAATGTGTATTCTAACGCGCGGTGACAAGGTTTCGCGTGTGTTATAGAGATTTGAACGTCATGGATTTCTAATGGATTTCATAAAGAAAATTACACTGAATGTAAATATTTAAGCATTGAATTCATAGTTTGGGATGTCTTCGGTCTTATAACACACCTGGCCGTGCCCACAAATTGAATCGGCACTGCCAGGTGTGTTATAGGACCGAAGACATCCCAAAATACGAATTCAATACTTATACTTACATTCACTAATTTTTCATCTTCATAATTGTTTTTTTTTTCGGTAATCTTTAATGTTAATTTAGCACCCTTCGAAACTGGTGTGCTTTATAGACGTAACAGCCGTTTTTGACGTTTGTAACGTTGCAAAGTTAAATAACACAAACGAACATTGCGAGGAAAGCAGTTGCAAATTAATTTTTAACGCACATTTGTTGTATTTTTACGTTAATTTAACAGGGTTATTTTGATATTCTAGAGTATTGAAAATGCATATAGTTGACCTACTGTATCTAACGCGCGGTGATAAGGTTTCGCGTGTTTTAGAGATTTGAACGTCGTGGATTCTACTGGATTTCAAAAGGAAAATTACACTGAATGTAAATATTTCGCATTAGATGTCGTGTGAACGCAATTCAGGTCCTGTTCACATGGAGAGTTTAATTCGCAGTAAATTAATGCGAAGTAAACTAATGCGAATTAAAATAATGCGAATTAAATTGCGTTCACACGACACTAAAGCGAAGTAAATTAGTGCGAATTAAAATTTTATTTCTACAAAAAGGCTTTTCAGTGAGGCCATTTCACACGACAGCTAAAGCGAAGTAAACTAATGCGAAGTAAATTGCATTCACATGGCAGCTAAAGCAAAATAATTTAATTTCACTTGTATCAAGCAATTTCATTTGCTGAATCATTCAGAGGAACATATAATATATTGTATAACATAACTTGCCTACGTCACAATGAGTTACGTCAAAAGGTATTACTCCGCTTGACGTTACTTTTAAAATATGCTATATTTGAAGCCTTTCTCCGGAGGAAAAATTGTCTCATTGTCTACACTGAAATTAGATTATAAGGAATGAAGCTAATTTCAACTTATGTTTTATGATATAACATAACTTGGGCAGTTTACGCTTTTTTATAAACCGCTTCGCGGTTTATAAAGCGTAAACTGCCCCAAGTTATGTTATATCGTATAACATAAGTTGAAATTAGCTTAATTCCTTAAGTAAACTAATACGAATTTAAATTTTATTTCTACAAAAATGCTATTCAATAAGGCTATTATGACGTTATTTGTAAATCATGTCATGTATGCAGAGCATCCGTTTGATTTAATAATCGTAGTAGCTACTGGTATACATTTTGTGATTAACATACTTTTGCTTGATTTTTGAACCAAATATAGCCCAGATACCTACACATGTATATCTAATCACAAATATGTGTCCTGTGACTTAATTCTGGCCTTACGCATGCGTCAAAACTCAATTCAATTTAGCTTCGCTTAGCGTTCACACGGAGAAAATGCAAAGTTATTAATGCCCAGTTCACACGGAGAGTCTAATTCGAATTAAACATAAGTTTACTGCGAATTAGCTTCGCTTAGCGTTCACACGGATAATTTAATGCAAATAAGTTTAATTTGAATTAATTCAATGCGCATTAAATTACTTCGCATTAACTTCGTGTGAACGCTAAGCGAATCTAATTCGAATTAAATTTTGACGCAAGCGTAAGGCTAGATTTAAGTCACAGGACACATGCTAGTGGTTAGATATAGGTGTCTGTGCTATATTTGGTTCAAAAATCAAGGAATAGTATGTTAATTACTAATTGTATACCTGTATCAACGATGATTATGATATCAAATCGATGGCTCCGCATACATGACGTGATTTACAAATGACGTCATAATAGCCTTACTGGCGCCTGACTGTAGAAGGAAAATTTTAATTCGCATTAGTTTACTTCGCATTAGCTGTCGTGTGAATGCAATTCAATTTGCATTATTTTAATTTGCATTAGTTTACTTTGCATTAATTTAAACTCGTCGTGTGAACAGGGCATAAGATAGCACACGTAGGATCAGGTGCTATAGAGGAGTTAGTATCCCCTTTCGATCATCCACAATGTGCTCCTTGTAATGATAGGGAAATAATGTAAAAAGGAGAATTTACTATGTGTAAATAATGTCCTATTAATTAGTTTGAAAAAAAAATCTTGTTGATTGATAGCTTGTCTCGTGTTGAATTGTTCGTATGTAGATCATGCTCTTGCGTATCAAAATCTCTTGGAGACGTAAACCCTTTATGCGAGTGATAAGTGTATATTGCTGCATAAGTAATGGAAGTTGACCATTCGAAAATTAAAGACATCACTTAAAAAAACCTTTTTTGTTAGGATACCATTTAAATCTTTACTACTAATACTGTATATCCAAAAATGAAACACAGATGTCAAACTTAATGGTCTTTGCTTTATTGCGAATTCACTGAAACATATCGAATCGACAAATGAATGCTAGAAATAATTTTATGCATTCTACTAAAAATTGCTTGTGGATTTTGAAGAACAAACAAACCCGTTTCATGTTATACAGTTTAACTGGATGAAATTTATTCCTTAAAGATACATACGTGTGCAAAATGTAACTGAAATTTGGTGGTAAACAAATGAAGCTGCTAGTAACTACATTTGTACATGTTGTATTAACATAATTCAAAAGTTCCTTCAAAAGAACAAAATCCAATAATCATGAACATATACATTTTTAAACAATATATGCAATTTTTTAAATTCAGATTAACTAATGTTTAAATAAAGAGGCTTGAATTATTCCATACTTACGTACATATTCCTCTTGCGAGCAGCTGAACCTCTCTGGTATTAAATATAAGAAATCCAAAAAGAATTTGAAGGTTTCTCATAATATGAAATTTGTAAAATCTAAGCAGAGTATGTCTAAGTCGACGTCTACATGATCGTTTGACATAGTGCGATAAAATTAGGGAACAGGATAAAAAAAAATAAACCAAACTTCTCATAAAAATATCTAAGAATCCCTTTTCCTTCCCCTTTCCGTTCATCTATGGCTATAAGTTGAATGATTGACGATTGATAGAGTTTGAAATAATTTTTCATATTACTCTCGGTGAGAAATGACAACAATGATTGTTTTGACAAAATTTACCCATAACCTATAAGGATGTCCTGTTGAACGAAGGTCAATCTGCTAAATCAAAACTGTTAATTAAATTACATTGTTTACCCTACGGAAGATCTAAAGAACTGCTACTGAGTAGGTATATGGGATCTCCCATGATCCAAAGCTACAGTTAAACATGACTACATGACGGAGTGCCACTGACGAACAATTTAATTGCGTTAAAACTTAAATCATTATATCCGTTAAGTTTACATAAAATTGTTTGTTGTATATAAAAAAATTATTTATTATATGCATTTTTAAGCCCCAGAGAATGTTAATCTCTTCTGCGTAAGTTTTTAATAAAGAGGTAGTTTCACTTACTCCATAAAACGACCCTGTCATTATACCAAATAACTGACCAAGTCCTTACGTCCCATTTCGAACATCAACATAATGTGGAGATTTAGTGGTTTCATTTCCTACAACAAAAATTCCTCTGAGAGTCCAAGTTCGCCCCTTTGAAAAAATCAAGTATGCCGCCATTCAACTATCAAAACAAGACATAGATCTTCAATCGTAGAACCAGACTCGACTCTCTTCTACTCACGGTCTATATAAACGTACTACGTCCTTCCACTTCAAAATATTTTACTCCTCAACACCCCCATGACTCTCCAAAATGTTGGTTTTTGTCACACATGACTTTGCACCATCTCCAACTTTAAGCTTCTCATGGATATTTTTTACATATCCACGTACAATATACAGTGTACTCATAAGAATTACTTTATCCTTTTTATATAAATGTCTTCATCATTTGTAGAATAAATTACCACCCGTTTGTTGTAATTTTTGACAATGTTCCTTTTCACGCTTCTGTCTCTACATGTGTGAAAAATTCTGGAATGGGACGTAAAACAACATGCATACAATCAATCAATCTATTTACTGCCTCAATGCTTTATTCTTATACTTCTAAACTGAGATGTCCTCAGGTCTTCAGTATTTTTATTGTCTTCTTTCACAAATTCTGGTACACATTTACAATGTATTTCATGTAAAAAGTTTACAAAACAAAGCAGAGCTAAGGCGTAATAAAAATAAATCATTCCCGCAAGGTGCTGTCCACAAGGACCAGTGTTTTAATTTTCTTCATTGCTTTCTCTTTTTTCTGCTACTTGTATGGTAAAATAGCAACTTTCTCTCCATACAAAAGCACTTTGGTTAATCAGTGTCCCTACTTCAATCTTTAAACCGGCCTCTGTTACTATTAATCAACATTATGTTTACATCAGATTTATTGCAGAAGACAACGTTCAATAACGAAATGTTTCTTGCCCCTTTATATATCCAATATTATCTCTAATACAAAGCTGAGTTTATACCTAGTGTAGGGTAGATTCAAGATTGAGTTTTATGAATACTAGAAAAGTGGAAAAACAGAAAAAAGACGAGGAATTTCATCATAAAAAAAGAAGAGTACGATCTGTAAGATGACTTAAAATTTCCAATTTTCATGACGATCTTCTGTTCCTCTAAAACTGTCGCCCGCGTGGCGCAGTGGTTAGAGTGTGTGCTCTAGAGTCGCAAAGTAAGGAGTTGATCCTTACGTCGCGGGTTTGAATCCTACTGTGGGACGTGGAGACCGGTCTTGTATCGCAGTAGATGCTGGTACAAAAAGACTACTCACTGAACAGTGTCCCTGAGTGTCGAATGTGTCGTGTATATGAAGGAAAAAAATTATAGCATCGGGAAGTGGTGGCGTCTCCGTATGAGTGAAATATTCTCGAGAATGACGTTAAACAACACACAGTTAATTGATCTTCTAAAACTAATATACTTCTTATCATGGACAGTCCGAAAAGCATTACACCAATGTCAGTATTGATCAGTAGATGATGTTTTTATTTTCCCCATGCTTTGATTATTTTGACTTGCGCTATTATTTTGGCTAACGTTTTGCATAAAATTACAGCGATGGGTTGTGGTTGGGGAAGGGGGTATGGACCCTGAGACTTTAACTTGCTTTTTAATCTTCAGATTTTAATGGAACCATATGATGTCGTCGTTGAAACCCCTCTCAGGAAATAGAGACACCCACTTCACTGAAAGTTGATACAAAACTTTACATTAGAGGACCATTTGAAAAGTTCTGAGAACATTTTGATAAACATTTTGATTTATGAACATATCATGGAAATTATAGAATTTGATACATTGAAAAGAGTTAAGTTCAGTACTCAAAATGGTCCTGTTAAGATACCAATTTACTGACTATCTGTTTTATCTGTTATCTGATTTACTGTTCCATTTCAAACATAAAAATAAAGTAGAGACTTAATACTTTCATTTCCTAAATTTTCCCCCTGAAAGTCTAGGTATTAGGAAACAGGCTTAATAAAATTGCATTATTAAAATATATTATTTTATGAGAAATAAAACATGTTTTGTATTCCTCAGAAACAGTTCTTTCATTTAATAATTGTATATTTTAGATCAGAGCTTGCACTATATACGATATAATGTAAAAACCTCTCTCAAACTAGGTTTTCGTGACAAGTGAAAAATGATGCAATTTATGACACCACAATGCATTGACAGCTAGAAAATTTAGAATTTAGAATTTAAGAGTTTAAAATTAAGGCATTGATATTGTGGAGGTAATTGGTCAGTTTTTTTTTTAGATGTTTATTGTTGTTGAAACTATGGCAAGCCATTTTGCTATTTATTCAAAAATAACATTTATCTTAAAAGTACAGAGATATCTCTCATTTAAGAAAGAAATCGATTAAATATAGATATATTTCTCAACTTTAATAGATATCCCAAACTTTAAGATATATCTCTCCAAGAAAGAGATATCTCTTATACTTAGAGATATATCTCTCACTCAGTGAGATATTTCTTTTTCTAAGAGATAAAGTCTCTTCCACTTAAACAGATATCTCTTTCTCATTTCAAAATATTTCTTTCGTTAAAACAGATATCTCTTAACATCAAAGATATATCTTCAACTAGAGAAATATCTCTTTTTATTTAGGAGATATCTCTCCAAATAAAAGAGATATTTCTTCAAGTATAAGAGATATCTCTCTTTAGTTTATCTTAAGATATATCACAAAGTGAAAGAGATACATGTATCTTTCAAAAGTGTCCAAAAGAGATATATCTTTTCTTTATTTTTATTGAAATTGCGTTTTAATGACTTCTCTCTTAACCGGAAGTAAACATTTTAATTACGGAAGTACATTAAAGTATTCTGAAAATTCCACAGGTCTACGTTATCACTTTACTGAACTTGACAAGCAAGTAATTCATTGTTATCTAGATTTCAAATTAGTTAGAGTTGATTATTTCATAAGCTGGGAATATGTGGTCAATTGAATGTGATATTTTATGCTTACTTTCGTTTTCCTGAATATTAAATATTACCATGTTTATCAACGAAGTTGCCATTATCTTTTTCTTGTTTCAAACAAGGGATTTGATATTTTCGTCAACATAGTACATATATTATTCTGGGTATGACATGCTCAGTTTTTTTTCTCATAGAGCGAAATTATTCCAGAGACTTTACTTCCCGTCTTGCTTTCGTATGAAAGGGGAGAATTAATTATATTATTTCAAAGATGACTGGAATTGATATCTCTTTAAGTAAGGAAGATTCTAAGCTTTTAGAAAAAATTCTCTTTTTGAAAATCTAAAGAGATATTTCTCTAACTAAGAAAGATATCTCTTTTAACTTTGTTGAAAAGATATCTATCTATTAAAAGATATCTCTCTCGATTAAAGAGATATTTCTCTCGCTTATAAAGATATCTCTCTAGTTAAAAGATATACATCTTTCTAAGTAAAAGAGAAATTTCTTTTGTGTAAAGAGATATCTCTCTAAAGTATAAAGATATCTCTTTAAGTTAAAGAGATATATCTCTTATTGAAAGAAAATTTTTATTCCTCGAATAAATAGTTGAAGGGCTTGCCTATGTTATTATCCAGTCTGTCTTTGCTTGTTAAACGATCGCTGAATATCACGAACTAATTATAATATATGCGTGTACCATATCTCATCCGTCCTTTACTTGTCAAATTATATCATTAAACGGACATGGAAGATTAAGTGACTGTTCAAACATAGTTTTGCTATTCTTTACCATATTTGTTATTATTTACCCGGAATTATTGATATTTTTTTTAATTTGAAACCATGTTTGTTATATTCAAAACATTAGAATATATTTATTTTCTTGAATCAAAAATGCCTTCCTTTATAGGTTATTTTTATTTATTTTGTCGTTAATTTAAAAAAATCAGAGTATTTTAACAATGCGAACAAATTATAGAAAACAATTATGTAAAGAATATCCGAACTGTTAACGTTTTGTGTTGTAGTTGAAGTTTATGATCATTTATCAATATATTTCCTATTTTTCACTATGCTCTAAGAGTCACATTTATTATTTCTAACTTGAACTATGTTCTTTTTATTTTTACGCTTTTATTGTTGGAATAATACAAACACAGATGATACAGATTTGCTTCATTACCTGATTAAATAGCATAAGAATATAACTTGCAAAAATTATACAAACTCGTGAATTACTAGTATAAACATTGCATTTAAGAATAAGAAAATTACAAATAAAATATCATGTAGTCAAAACCAGATATTTTATTATTCGTAATTCTAATTAAAGCAGTCATATATCAACACTTTACTGTATTTCTGATAACTCTCTCTCTGATTATGTATGAATATATCAAGCACTGTACTCTATTTCATCAAATATAAATGGGTCTTTAACATTATAGATTTCTGTTGCAAGAAAGAAAAATACTAATAGCAAATGTCATCAAAGTTGAAAAGTTGTAAGTTTATAAGCTGTTGATTTCGGTATAATCTTGAGATTTCAAATTGTCCAAAAGTTCCTTGGAATTTTTAAGTATTCACATCTGATTAACACCACTTCTCGAATATTTTTTGCACAGTACTCATGAAGTGTCTCCTTTACTGCTGTTAATATCTTAGTGAGGAGTAAAGAAAGAGGCTCGCTTGAACATTTATTGGAACCCGCTATGTATCTTTTTTTTTGTAAAGATTTTTATGAAGTTTCAACTTCAGAGTACTTGCGTGTGCAATCAGAATGTGTTTTAACAAAATAATTTTGCAAATGACCAATGACTAGATAAGTAAATTTACGAGTTTCATTTTATTGAAAAAGCAACTGTCAATGATATCAAAAAGCATGGACTTTAATTTATCGTGGGAAATGGTTGTTTATAAAGGTGAAAAGTCGTAAGTTTTTAAGCTGTTGATTTTGGTAAAATCTTGTGATTTCAAATTGTCCAAAAATTCTTTGGAATTTTTTAGTATCCACATCTGATTCACACCACTTGTTGAATATACTGTTGTACAGTGCTGTTGAAGTTTTTCCATCACTACCGTCAATATCTTAGTGAGGAGTAACGAAAGAGGCTCGCTTGAACATTTACTGGAACCCGCAATGTACGAGGGGCGTTCAAAAAATAATGTCATCAGCTCCATGACATACAACATAGAAATCATATAACAATAAGCTTGACTTTTTCTAATCATTGAATCTTTAATGAATTCATAACAGTTTATGTGACTACTTTTCATCGCATAATTTGATTGTGAGAAGCTGGAAAACAAGGGCTACTCGAGACACTGCGTTAAAAATAAATGGTCAAGAATCAGTAAACTAGAGTAAAATTGAACGCGTCATTAAAGCTGCTGTAAAACTTGTTAATTTCCCAAAAATATATTAACTGAAATATGTGAAATTTACAGCAACTTTTGTCTATTTCATACACACATGAACAAGTGGATTTCAATTAGCAAAAAATATATAATGGGCATCAAAAATGGGTACCCTCCTTGTCAACAAGGACATACAACAACCAATGTATATTAGCGATAATTCAACAAATTATCACAGATTATGTTTTATTGACTTTAAGTTACATAGCAAATTAGATACACATCATATCGGGGGTAGTTCACACTGTTTTAAAGAAACATTTGAGTGTAAAAAAGTTTATTACTCAAATGTCATCGTATATTTATAAATATGAATGAAAACGAGAGCGTGTAGAAAATCTAAACAATTATGTTTAAAAATCAAAAATTGCTCTCATCGACGTTTTTCTGAAATTCAAACAGATTATGCAACTTGAATCCATTTTGCGTTTAACCCTCAAAGCAAATTTAGAATAAAATGTACTTGACAAAACTGCAAAGGCCTAAGAAGAGCCAAAATTTGCAAGAACACAAAAACAGTTTTATACGCTATTTTAGTAAATATTATCAGTCTTATTGTTCAAATATATATATAGGGAGGCAGTTTAATTTCTAGAGAAGTCTAGTGAGCGAAATATTTGCCAAAAAATTGAAAGGTTTCTGAGAGGAAGGAAACAGAATGAGGAACTCACTACATTAAATTTCTTCCCGACAGCGTCCAAACCCACAGGCCATGAAGAGCAAAAGAGTTTTTGGGTAAACTAAAAGTTAATGTATTTTCACATCAACAATATTCGCCAGATCTTTCAATCTTTGACTTGTTTCATTTCCCAAACTTAGGAAAACACCCTTCAGAAAGAAAAAAACAAGTACAGCAAATCATAGGATCTCCCATTTTCCAGTATACGAAGGGTCATACTCAAAACTCTGTTCTTAAAACAATTAGAAATTGAATAAAAATGTTATAGACATATCTTTTAATTAAAAGAGAATATTTTAGTTAAATCATTAAGACAAAATCATAGAAAAGCGATTTTTGTTTCTCTCCGAGCACTGATGACATTATTTATTGAACGCCCCTCGTATCTTCTTTCGTAAGTATGTTGAGAACATTTAAAGAAGAAGGTAGGTTTTTAGCTTTTTTGTGCCCTTAGCTGCAATAATGTAACCCTCTCCGATTTTTTTTTATCTGATGATTTCTGGAGAGGGCCACAATTCCACAGCATCTCCGTAATGGTGCAAATATATTTTCTAAATACGGGCGACTGCATGCAAAATAAATTGTTTTTACATTCAACTTACTTCTTATCAGATGAAATTTTCATTAACTGTCAACAACATAGCCGGTTAAACGCGAAAACCATGTAAAATAAATCTGCGTGTTTACCAGTCGCTCCGCTCAGCAGCCATGACAGTTTACGCGTGATGTACTGAGACTTTCGCTTGAAATTTAGAACAACTTAATAAAGCATTAATTTAATCGGTGTTTATACATGATAGTGCTGAATGGTATTACAAAAGCATCGATAAACAAAAACAATATCAAGTGTTATTTCTATGCAAACAGTGATATTTGTGCTTAAAATAAGGGAAGTCCTGAAAGATCCACTCCTAAGGATCTTAAATTCTCATTGGCTGTCTAAAAATAAAATCTATCAAGGTAATTTTCTTTCAGAAAACAGTGTTCACAGCCGTCGCCCACTATGTCGTGTAAAATTCAATAAAAAAAAAATTAAGTATCTTAAATTCTTGTGGGCGATGCGTGTGGACAATGGTGTCTTCTGCAACTTTTTAAGAAATTTAAAATACGGGAAAATGCACATGCCTATGACGTAAGAAAAATAATTTGTATGAATCTCTGCATGGAATTTCAATGAATCAAAAAAACATGATTTTTCATTTTTTACATCATTTTCATTTTTAAGAAAATCACTGGGCAAATTTTGTATTGAAACCATACCTTGTTCTGCAAAAGAAAAATAATTTTTAACATTAAAATTTATAACAAACGCATTTTCAATCAATCAGTATAAATGCTTTATTTGTGACAAATGAGTGCATAAGTGAGTTCTTTATTAACCCACATATTTATAAAGTTCTATTCCAATTAGTGTAATCTTCTATTGCGTACACTGTGAAACACCGTCTTCATCACTGACAAACGTATAATCACAGCGAGACAATCTCTTCAAAGTACAGCCTTGTCGTTCCATGATCCCCGCATTGTAGCCAAATCTGAAAATGAATGATTCAATGGAATTTATAAAAATTCCTCTTTTTAAAAATCTTCCCTATCTCTTTTATAAAGACTAACTGTTGGAACGTCTTAGTGAGAGCCTGCAAGAAACGATCATTATAAAACTGGTCTTTTACAAAAATTAAGGACGAAATACTCTTTTTAAAAAATATTTACTTTCTGTCAGGGGTCTCATGCTGAATATACTTCAGTTGTCTCGGGTGGTTATAGTTATCACAATATTAAAAAGTTAAGGAAGGTTATCCTTAATGTATCGACTTGTCAATCTTTTAGTAAGAGAAATGAAGCGGATCGATCAATTTTTACAAAGCTATTTCCCCAGAAAATCTTTATATTTTTCAAAGGGTATTAATGGCATATAATACACAGTGAATGTATCTCATACTCACAATGTGTTTCTCTAAAATATGCAATGGGTATTACATGCTGATGGGAAAAATCTTCAAGTATAATTTATTTCAAGCTTGAAAAAAATGCTTACCGCTCAAAAGTAATGTTTTAAAGGATGTATTCACTATGACAAAAGAATTGACCTATAGGAGAGAATAATTTCCCGGAAAAATGGGCATTTAAATATTAATCTTTATTTGTTGTTTTCTACCGTATATATGTCTAAATTTTTCAAATTTGTATTTTATACCTAAAAATTATTATTTACAACTTTACAATGAACCTCCAAAGTTGGCCGAAACACCATGAGTTTTGGCCTAGAAGTCCTTTAAGTCCTAAATAAAATTATGATATTTTGATAGGTTAGGATGTAAGGAATAATTTAAGATAAGATAGTTTTAGGGGCACCCCTGCCCTCGGATCGAAATTCACATCACAAAAAAAAACTACAAAAAATAAGGAAGCTGTATTTTGATAATCTGCTTCAAATTTATACCTCTATTCTTATAATCAGACTAGCTCAGTTGATAGGATATTTATACCATGGAAACTTTTTTTTAAAAGTCGGGGGGTCGAATCCACCTGGGACCACACTTTTAAAGTTTTAAATTTCGCCTTTTCAAAGACTATTTTACGTTTTTTATAGACTTGACGAGTGTATTTTCCTTTAATTATCTATCCTTTATGCATGCCCATTCTTGATATTAGGAACACTAAAGAGATATCAAATCGTAACAATCCAACGTACAATTGTCAGTCAGGGGAACAAATCTCAATATAAGCAGCACACTTTCTCCAAGGAAAAGAATTACTCACTCACTAACTTACTCGATACAGGAATTCTTGGCAGCATTGAGCTGCGGTGAATTTCAATTGTACATTTTCCTTAGAATTTAATCACATGGATTTTGGCTACATATATCAGTAACTGTACTCCCTTGGATTTCATCTAGGCCAATATAATTTGCACACATCAATGACATGCTTCATTACATCCACGGAGAAAAAGCCTAGACATAAAGAAAAGAATTTCAGAGAAGTAGACATTACCATTATGCACTATGAGACGTAAAGGCAATTATCAATTATTACATTTGGAGATAACAAACTCAGGAAATCAATGAAAGGGTTCCTCCCACCTCTACTCACTGAGATAAAGATTTCAGAAAAACAAATTGTGATATGTATTCAGCCTAATGCCATTAATCGGAACGGATATCGACAAGTTTTTTGTAGAGAAAAAAACAAAACCCTGTCCTATAGGTCAAATCCCTATTTATGATGAAGTGAACCTTTGCAGTCCTTCAGTAGTAAGTAATGGGTCTCAATTTGGATGAAAAATGATTATCGAAGGGACATTATCTGAATATTTGGAATTTGTTAGCGGCCATCTGAAAATATCTCTCCTTTTGTTGTTTTTTATTAATAGATTGCGCGAAGTTGGTGTAGACGTATTCGAATGTAAAGGGCGTGCACATCCACATCCCTTCAGGTGCTTTAATATTTTTAAAGTATGTACATGTGTTTTGAACATTATTATTATAATGTTATGAAAAGGACAAAGCTTTATAAATTAATAAACGAACGTAAAATAATCAAATATATGGTAGGAGATTGATATTTACAAATACCGGCAATGAAGCTTAATCCAGAGTATATAATCACTTACCCACAACAATGTAATGCACCTCGTCCACAATAACAATAAAAACAAGCCTTGTAGTCGAACTTTGTTTCATTAAAACCGATGACTTGACCTGTTTTATCCACACAGCCTTTAGATAGGAACGAAAGAGAGAAAACAGGGTAAACAATCAAACATCACATATATCAAACAAAGAATATTGAACATCATTCTCAATAAAATGAGGAATATTTTAATATTTACCGTTTAAATTTCTAGGAGGTTGCTGCATGATGTAACATGATCCATCAGCCAGCCAGACAAACCCAGACACAAAGACGAACACCCAAACAAACAGCATAACTGTAAACAGTCGTCACTTGATGGCGGAGAGTAAAGTTGTTGTTTTGATTTGAAATTCTCCGATGTTGTTTACCAGCATCTGTGTGTAGAGTGCTGCGATTGCCCCGTGGAGGTCTGTGTTATAATTATGTTTACTCTCTAAATCTAAACTTTTTACCCTCAAGAGTAGGATTGAACGAGTCTTATGGTTTGTAAAAATTTATCAATGTGTTATGAGGACTTTCACAGCAAATTAATCGTATTGTATTTTTAAATAATTAAACAAATCTGATCATGTATTAATTTCAGCCCAAATTTATTTGTTACTAAAAATATTCAAGGGGAGACACACCTTAGCTCATGAAATTATATCCCATCGCTAGTTCGTGTTCTTCAATCGAACTTGACTACTGTTTTCTATGGTGCTATTTTTTTGTCTTGAAAAGATGACAAAAACCGCATATTCATTAATGGAATTTTTTTTATTTTCATAATCTTTCATGAAATTCCAAGTCAGAAGTATTTATCTTTCATCTTGGAGGATTATTATACCCCCGCTTGAAAAGCGGGAGGGTATATAGTAATCGTTAATTCCGTCCGTCTGTACGTCCGTCCGTCTGTCTGTCCGTCCGTCTGTTACGCTTTGGGGTACCCATCTCTTATCCGCAACTCCTCTCATACCACTGAATGAAATTTGATGAAACTTTCACTGAATTTTTATTACATATTGCCATTGTGCACCTCCTATTTTACTTTTTGATCCGACACATATTTTGGGTTTTCCGGCCACAGGAAAACATGGACTTTTTCACCAGTTATAAACATATGGGAGGCGGGGGGTATCATTTAGTGAGCTCATCGCTCACAGTACCTCTAGTTTCTATTTGCGTTGTATTTGATTAATATGTTATTTAATTTTCGTTTTTCACACGCTTTTTAATAGGATAAAATCAACTAAAATTTTGACGGCAAAGTAAATATTGTGTAAGAAACATATACAAAGGAGACAAAGTTCTGGATTTTTTTAAAATATAAGATCTAAACAAGGACAGCAGGAAAAACATAATTTTACTGGATAGTCTATTATCTTGTGTGATAAAAGATTCGTCTCCTTTTATTACATTTTTTTTACTTGAGTTCTGTCCTTATAACCAAGATTTGGCGCAACTTATTCTTCATTTCAAAAGTGTTTGTCCTCAGATAAACATGGTGCTTATTTTTATTTTTAAAAATCTAATTCATTGTTTATTATGAACTAATATCTCAAAATGTAAGCAAATTTTACATAACAATCTTCGAAAATATCTTTTAAATACATGAATCAACCAGTTATAGCTATATCCTTCAGTTGTTTAATATTTTACAAAAGCCTGAGTTCTTTAGAATGACAAAAAAGATTAAAGCCATATGCATTCCAACAATATTTTTTTTTCTGTGACTGTTGATGACTGTTAAGATGACCAAATTAATAATTAACATTAGTATGAATGTTAGTATGAATGTATTTTACAACAATCAATGTCAAAAGAAACATGATATCTGAATTCATATTTAGATGTAAGGATATCAAGGCTTGTATGGTGGAAGATCTTCTGTCGTATAAGCAAGGTTATTTATCCTCTGTGTTTTGGTTTCTGTCCAGTGGATAGCGACAGTAGAGCCTGTTTTACTATTCCTGTAGAAAAGAAAGATACATCGGTATTTACATATTTTAAAAGTTATTTTTTGTTACCTTTCAAATGTTACGTACTTAATTTTATGTTACCCGTTAGTTGATAAATAATGACCGGTCAACAAAACCATAAGAAAGATTTGTATTATGCAAAGAAGGAGAATAAATGCACTCTATGATTTATTATTATAATATTGATTAAATATAATAATAATATTGATTATATCCAAGTTTTAAGATCAATAACAAATGGTCAGAGTAAAGGAAACATTATACAGTTATTGACTGGGTATGAGGGAAACATATGATTTGTTGGACCTGAAGGTGAAAATGTTGCCCGAGGCCGCAGGCCAAGGGCAACATTTTCATCTTCAGGTCCAACAAATCATATGTTGCCCGAATCCTAGTCTATAACTGTTTTGTTATAACCTTCACTGCTCACTTAAGATTGATCAATTTTATCAATACACGCTAAACTATCAATTATTTTATATGGAAAATTATGGCTTCTTCAGTAAATATAAACATCAAGCTGAGAAAGAACAAAATCAATTATAAGTCTATTATATCACAAAAATTATTTATCACAAAACATACTCTTCCCTTCTACCTTACCTTGCTGTTAGCAACAACTCTTAATAGCTCTTAACTTCGGCTATTTTCGCGTCACCGATATTGAACGATGATTATTAGTTGTGACGTAACAGACAGGTGACGTTGCGGTCTAACAATTCTTATGTAAGACCGGTCAATAGTGAAATTGTTAGACCGACGTAATAAACATTTCTTTTGTCGGACTTTTTATTAGTAAGAAATACATAGAAGGATATTTATAAGGGTATAACAAATCTGATTGATGAGTGGATTGTCATAAAATTTATCATCAAAAGTAATTATTCCTTTGTTGTTGTTTTTCTTAATTATTTATGCTTCGATGTACGTAATATAAAAAAAAAACACGGCAAAAATACAACAAAAATATAACAAACCCTTTTACAAATCTCTTTTTCATCATTATTAGCATTACAACCAGAATCAGAATCGCACACCAGGTATCATGCGGAGGATGATCTCCAGATCTACATGCTTATGACCGTCATCACCTGAAAATTCATGAAAATTGAAAAAATACATTATGCTAATTGTTTCTCAAAGTCCGTTTTACCATATGCATCTGATTTTCTTTCATCAACTTTATCATTCTCATGGTTCATCACCTAAAATCATAACAATGTAAACAACAAAAATTAAGTTTGAGGAGTGATTTCAAATCTTTCATCACAAAAGACAATTCGTATTCATGTATTTATAAATTATATACCGAAGCAATACCACGAGGGACAAGTATCCACTCCCTGTGGACAGTAGGCTGTGTATTTGCCACAGTTCTTTAATTTGATGTCATAGGACTTAGAACAACAGCTGTGGAACCCTCTCTGGCAGGCCTGTCTTGTAACAATACCATCTCCTCTAGTAGGATGACTTCCTGCCTACAGCATAAAGTTTAATTCTTCATCCGACAACCCTCATAGATTGAAATAAACAACTGAACCATCAGATTTGTGTTAAGGAGACGTATTCCTTTTTGACACATAACCAACCCGATTATTTAATTCATACTCACCAGTCATCCATACAGGGTATATTGAGCTTTACCTTAATAGTTTTGGGCACCGGTTTAGCATGGGGGAACTAGATTTATACCACCCAGCTGTCAGGTGTTCATCACGATACCCCTGCCCTTGTTTGTATTCACAATTAATGGAGCGATATTTATTCTGTGTCAATGTTTGCAGGTTGCCTTCTATGCAAGGATCTAAACAACCAAATGTTACACATATTATTCGTGTTTTCTTGTCTTTATGGAAACATAACTTCTATATAAATATATGAAAATTTTAGTTTTATGAGAAGTGGTTTAAGTTTATTTTAACAACGTACCCTCAGAGCAAGTCGTTGGTGGGCTGACCGTAGATGGATTGGATCCTTATTTTTGGCTAAGAGTTCTTTTTTCATATATTTCAATTTACGAAAACTCCCTTAGAATATTTCAACAAAGATTTAGTTATTTATGTTGGAAAATTTTGATTTAACGCTTAAACAAATGAATTTATTTTCTATAACTTTGAATATGTAAACGCTCAACCATTCAAAAAATGTTACTGTATGGTTTTTGACGGATATAATTGGTTGATAATTTCCTTCCAAAGGAAATTTGTAATTATTTATTTTAAAGAACTTAATATTTTTTTTGTACCGATAAACAACATTGAATTCTGGCCGTTGATACAATGTCCTTGTCAGGCAACACGACGTATCATTTAGCTGAATGCTGAGTGATGGTTTACATATGAATTGTTAAGCCATTATTTACAACCTGGCTTATTTACGACTTTTTTCTTTATCCCATCACGACAAGCAGTACCTGTAGACATGATTTACCTACTCCTCAACTGCACTAGACCCAACCTATGATGCTGTTAGCTGTCCTTGTTTGCTCTAATAAAGATTTATATTGTTTGATTCGACTTTTTTGAGTGTAAATATTGTTCTTTATTTTCAAATGACATTAAAAACATTTTTAATACCTGTTTTTACAGATATTAATTTCATTTTTTGACAAAGCATTTCCGTACCGGTTTTTTTTTGGCATTTGAAAAAAAGATACAGCTTCAAGGTGAATATAAAAATAATTAAAATATACATAATTTTAAGCCAAAAAGTTCAAGACTGGTTCCATGTCATTTCTATTACTGATGAGATAAGGCCCTAAACACCAAGACCCTATACCAAGGCGGGTGTTGCTACAAAACAGATCCCACACCACACTGCTCAACTGCCCTACATGCCGAGTAATGCTCAAAATTTTAAGCTTCACCTTCACATGGTGACGTCTTTATATGAGATATGTTTTCGAATGGGACGTAAACGAATATACAATCAATCAATCAATCCTATTCTGATGATTTTGATAAGCTTTTATGAGGTTTTTAAAGTTGACAGTATTCTATTTTCATTAACTATGGCAATGAAACATACAAAGACAATAAACAAACAGTATTCAAGCTCAAACGTCCATAAAACAGTACAAAAAAAAGAAGAACTGAGCAAATATGGACCTCCGCAACATCAGAGAAAGGATCAGGAGCATCCCCTGCCGACCGGTCATCCCCGTTGTGTGTTCCTTGTCATGATCTGGAAATAATGGAAAATTAAGTCTTTTGTTTTCTTCAG